AGGAGGCGTCGANCGCCTCTTGATATCACTAACTCTCCTGACTCCTGACTCCTGAGTTGATGCAAGCAAGATTAGCTGAAAATGAGGGAAAATGTCGAATTATGAATACCAATGACTGTCATTTCCTGATATAGTGCAATAAACTTACACCCTGCTTGGTCGATCGAGACAAAGTGGAACTGATTGGGTTGGTTCCATTGGTTCCACACTCCAGGTGCAATCATGTTGTGTTATCTAGAGCTCGTGATAGGTGTCGCATTTTTTTAAGCTTCATTATGGCGTTTCCTCGTCACACTTCAAGGAAAACTCTGCTTTCTTTTTCTGCCCGGATGATCGGGAAGATTTTCACGGAAAACATGCCCTGATGAAGCTACAATATGATGCTCCCTGATTCTCGGAACTCCGTCTAGGCACTGTTGGCAACGATTGTGATTAACCAGAAACTTAGCCAAATAATTATTTCATGTAAGTAATATCTGCGACTGCACTCAAAAAGTTTGCTCTCGCCCGACAAAGGCGCTCGATCTTGATCTTAGCAGTGTGCAATGAGCCTTCGTCTCGTTCCTGCTGAAGTTTAAAAGTTGCAATCACAATGGACAAGGTAGCGAACTTGCACAAGTAGCAGGCATTACCTAACCTCTTCATGGACTCTCGTCGCCCACTACGATAACGAAGAAACTCCAACTTTAATTTTCAATTGAAAACTACGAGGTAGAGGGGCACTTCTAGAACAATCGGTCGTAATCCACAATTGAAAAAAAAAAATGGAATTGGTCTCTACATGCGTTTTGTCGTTCTGAGCAGCGCAGTCTGAAAGCCGTTCACGTCGCGGTCAAGGTATGGGCGGATGAGGTTGAGGTCCTGCGAGGCACCCTCTCAAGGCGCTCGCGTGTCTTCTGGAAATAAGTCCGAAGGGAAAACAAAGGAGGGCCCCGCTCGTCATCTTTGACGTGCTTTCATCATTATAATCAAAGCCAGGCTGGAGGCATTTCTTTTCCAGGGAGGTCTTCCCCTTTGTAACTGTTCTTCCCGGTCTTTTTGCCTCATTTCGAGGAAGTAATAACTTCTAAGGGGAATCCTCGTTCGGTGGGGTGCGATGAGGAAGTTTGAAGAGCTCTTTCTGTTCTCGTACAGGGTAGAAGAATTTCTGCTGCTGACGGACACCGTGGATAAATGGAGTCGTTGCATCTACACATCATCTTCGTCCTTCAATGAGACAACTAAAAAATTATCATATTCTGGAGTCGAGCAGGGGAGTCGAGCTGATAGAATCATCGAGATGGTGATAGAATCAGTGTCAAGGAATCATCGGGACGGTGATAGAATCAGCGTCATGTATCAGGATGAATTGGGGGACGACAAGCTTCGACCCCGAAATGGTGGTCTTAACGAAGACTTCTGATGGATGTCTTTCGTCCAAAGGTTTCCGTGCCAGCACGGATGCCAGAGCGTCAGGTCATCATGGACGAACAGGGCTCGCAGAGGTTTAGAGGGTCTCGTCCGACTGGTTCCATCACAAAAGCCAAATTAACGGAAGCCGGTCGCGGACAAACGAGATGCCGAAAGAACACCACGCCTCCTTCTTTCATTCTTCGGTGACATTGGACATCCATTTATCTCTCTGATTTTCTGCTTCTCGGTCCCATCCTAGTTCCGGTCCACAATGCAGTTTCTTGTAAAGACGAAAATGAGAAATGATAGGCGCTTCACGTCCCAACCGGTCTCAAACGGTGTCCGTGCCCTCGTCTCGCGACGGACGAGGCATGGAATTCCTGCAATCCCCCCCACGAGTGAGACATGACGCAGTCGATGCACCTTTTCCTTGCCAAATACTCATTGAGAAATTTTTTTTTTTTACTATTTGGCTCTCATCCTTCGAAGACGAATCAAAAAAATGCCCGAGGGTCGAAAACGAGAAGCTGAGAATGAGATTTGTTCGTCCACGCAGTGAGTGTCTCGGAAGCCCAGTCGACATTCCGTATACAGAGCCATCCACCTCTAAACGAGCATTCAAGCGATGGTTGATGTTTCTAATTAACGGGTGTAACGAGCTACGAAAAAATGAAACTTTTGTGTACACGTATCGAGGCCATAAATCAAGATGATCTAGGATGACAGTGCCGAGATTCCTGCCTATCGGGGACCTGTTCCCTCTCCTCTCTCCTCTTGGATCAGATTTAACCCTTCGGATGCATAATGTCGTTTCATTTACGGAAACAAAGGCCCATGAATGCGTTCGGATCGGAGAGGTCGAAGGAAGAACATTAATCAGGAGCTATCGAATCGAAAGACACCCAATTTTCTGCTTGTCCCAGAGGGAATCACGATCCGGAGATATGGGAAGCACATCTTCCTCGTCTTTTTTTTTTTGTTCCTGCTCCTCTAGACCCCGCTTGATGACTTCGGTCCTTGATTACCCCCCGTCTGCACGATTCTCTTCGTCGTCTTTGGAAAAGGGATTCTTTCTTGGTCGGAAGACGGAGATTGAGCCCGACCACTTTGCATCTCCGGGTTCATGAAGCCCGATGACCGAGCCCGTTTCATTTGCGTAGCTTGATATTGTCCTCGATTTTCGCGCAACGAATCGATGAAGTGAGGGGGACGAATGCGACTCCATTTGTCGCACGACCGTCGAGAGACCCAGTTTTTTATTCCGTCTTGAGTAATGAGCTGTGCAGCTCCAGATAGAGCCGAGAGGAAAATGGAATCATCTGTCTTGAGAGAGAGGTCCCGTCCGAGCGGGAGGAAAATAATAACCATTCATGCTTTGTAAACAACGGTGTCTTCCGAGAAAAGAAAAAGACTGATGCGAATTTTTCTCGTTTCTCTCGGGTGGCCGATGGCGCAAGACGGAGGATGGATCGTTCCCCGCGTCAGATATCCCGACTAATGACTGCAATCAACCTCATCGAAAATACTTCGCGAAGAGGGGAAAAGTATGCAGGAGCCTGAGGATAAGGAAATTCACGGTAAACCAGATCAGCATATGCACCGAAAATTTTACGCTCCAGGAATCAAAAGGAGGCACGAGCAATAGAGAGGAAAGAGAAAAGTAAAATGTTCCAAACAAGCCTGATTTTCTCTCTTTTTTTACTTGCCCCCCTCCCCTCCCTCCCCCCCTCCCTCCCCCCCTCCCCCCTCCCCTCCCACCCCCCCCCCTCCACCTCTCCTTCTCCATTTCTCTTTAAAGCTGATCCATATTGATTCTGTGTCCAGACTTCAATCGCCCAATACGATGCACTAGAGATGAGAGAGTAAAGTTGTCCGCCCTTTCGTTGTTAGTTGGTCTTCGGAGTATAATTGCATAGGTAATGTCTGTCTGGTCGCCGCTCGGCTCCGTTTTTATAGTTGATAATAAGCGAAAGAAGGAAAAAAAAAGACATTTTTTTCTTGGGACTTGATGGCCCGCTGAGAGTTCTCTCAGACTGATAAGGAAGGGGGTACTCCTGGGTATTTATTGCATACTTTGATCTCATTAGTGGAGCGGCAAAGGCAAACATTTTTTCCTCATCATATTCCGATCATTTGTCCTTGAGCGCCGCACTTTTTCATTTTCATTTTCCCACAACTTCAGGGCTACTGCCACAACACTGTCAACGCATTCATGAATCATTGTCTTGTCCCCTTGATGTGAGAAAAGTCCCTGCGTGCATTCCAGATGCGTTTTGATTTGCATGAAGAACTGGTTGAGGTCATGCCCGCGATCCCTGGCATGTGCAGCGATCTCATAATTGACGTCATCTGCCGCTATATAATCCACAGAGAGAGAGAGAGAGAGAGAAAGAGAGAGAGAGAGAGGGAGGGAGGGAGGGAGATGGAGGATTAAGATGGGAAGGAGGAAAGGAGAACCTCTGTTCCTAAAGGCAGGTTTCTCTATCATCGCATCATACTAGATTACCGCGGATAGAGGCTGATGGGAATCTTCCTCTAATGAGATTCTGCTGAACCACAAACATATAGCATTATGAGCTGTCGGCCTACACCAATACGCTCGACGGAATTGTCCTCCTTCCGAAGAGGAAAGGTGATTCCAACTTCAATAAGGGATGAGCATGAAGCTATTCGATGCGACGATCCAAGATTGTGAAGGCCGTGTGGGCTGAAATCGAAAGTAGATGCATCGATTCAAAACAATCACTTTTTCCGGTTCTTGTTTGAGGTTCGATAGAATTCTCATCCTCTATCATCCCACTTACGGCAGACCTGGTTATCTCCTTTCCAGCTATGAGGGCAGTCAGAGAGAGTTTGAAAGACTCTGGAGAATCACGCGAATGCGAGTCTCGTGCTCATTCAGGCAAACTGAGCTCGGGAAAGGTCATTAATGCATTCGTGGGATTCTTGTTGAGATCCTCGCGCTTCCAGGTACTGGTAGATATGCCAGACGCATCGATCCTACGAGTGCCAGCGTACTCTGCTTGACCCGGTTACCCGTTGAAAATTCTGCGATGCAAGGAATGCCAACAGGCAAGCTTATTTGGCTCTCATAGAAAAAGAGCTCTCGTCTTCGCCAGAAAAGCCGGTGGAAGCTAAGACCTCGTTATTGAAATGGGGAAATAAAAGGGGAAGCTCCAAGAGCCGAAGGGAGAAATCCCGCAAAAGCCGTGGAGCAGCAGATACGGAAAAACAGTCAGAGGCTTTTCAGACTGGATGACGAGAGATAACTCCGATAGAGATAATCCGCGAAAGTTATAAATTAATTAATTGGTGAGTGTATCTAATTAGGCATTGGGGGACTTTTATAGAAAATTCCGAGGGTCGGGTCAATAAATCATGACGGAAGTTTTGGACAGAGGGCCAGATGGAACGAGGGCAGTGGTGGCGTGAAAGAGAGACGGGAGAGGGAGGGAGCCGAAAACAAGGCAAGAGAGAGATAAAAAAGATTAGCATGATGCAATGAGGAAGGTGGTCTATCAGGGAGCAATTAGGTTTGAGAAAGAGCCTCAGAAGCTGTTTTTTTCTCTCTCGGAACAAGTGGGCGACCCCCTGAGTCCAGTGGACCTTTATCTGCCTGGAAGATCAGGGAATACCAATGCCAGGTTCCCTGCCGAGACATCTGCCACCTCGTCAAAGACGAGTCATACATGTATAACCCTACACAACCCCCCCCCCCCCCCCCCCCCCTTCCCCCCTGCTCCAACCCGAACCTCCCAACCCGATTCTCGTTTTGAGGCCACTGTCGCCTGGTCCAAAACAGGTAGGCGGAGCTGCAAGTTGCATTCTTGCTCGCTTCGGAATCCCAGGAATCCCTCTGATCTTCCAGCTTCCCCTCGCTCGCTTGTGCTGTACAATACGTCCGACAAGCCCTCGGCCCGATGACGATCGGGAACACCTGCCGGAATGTTCGAGACGCAGGGAGCGGACAGGAACTCCGTGTACAAAAAAAGCGAATGAAGAGATGCCGCCTGGGTCAAGGAGAAACGATTTGACGCGTGCGGTCTCTGGACAACACGGTGCATGAATGATGGAAACAATTAACCCATGATAATTGCAAGCTCCTTATTCAAGATGACAGACTACACGCTATTTGCATAATGCCCAATATTCCCTGTAGGAAGGCCTCGGAGACGAAGAAATACATCACACCATCCCCCCATCAGATGTTATCAGAAGAGGCAGAGATTTGTGCAACCCTCGCGAGAATAGAGATGCTAAACTTTGACAACATTGTTTCCAAAAAAAGACGAAATACTAGGTCACGCAGTCCCAAAGAAATGTCACGCACCCTGAAAAATAACTCAGACCTTTCCCCAAAACACGTCTCAGAGTCCGCATTTTCTGTGAGAGTTGCACAATGCAGTACATCGCCTGGCTCAACATTTATGATGGTATTATAGGAATTCCCATGCGAGAGAAAATGGAAGCACCTGGAAGAAGCGCAGATCGAGAATACAAACAGGAAGGGAGGGGGAAAACGCCGAGTGCAAGGGGAGGGGAAAGATTCACGAGGTTGTAGATAAGACTTCCTCCAAGGACCTAACAGGATTACCAAGGGCCTGATCAATTAGATGAACTCCCAGGACAAATGAGGACCTTGCAGGAGACGGCCTCTATTAGCATAGAAATGAGACAAGAGAGGATCAAATACTGTAGAATTTTCAACGACGGACTGGTCTCGTTCTCAATGACGAGAATGCGTCGACTCTTTCGCATGGTATGTGTGTGTGTGTGTGTGTGTTTGTTTGTTCATGAGACTTTTCAGATGAGGGATTAATGAAGGCTTTCTTCCTCAGCTTCAATCTCTACCATAATCCTTGCAAAGGCCAGGTATAACAGAAATCATACCGCTCCCGACTTTATAGAACTCAGAACGTTTATGAATTTTTTTTTACAGATTATTTATTTCGATATAAATAAACGACGAAAGCTCTGATGGCCCCATGCAAAAAAATCTCCCTCGTTTCATTGACTTAGGGTTTCGTGGATTTTCATATGAAGTAATGATATCCCTCGTGCAGAGCTGCTATCTTTCTCGGTCGAAGTTCTCATTTTTCACCACGCCTGGCCAGTCCCTCTCGATAAATCAGAAGAGAGGAGTATCAAGGGTTCAGTATACTCCTCTCTCATTATTTCAATTCGACCCCGGCCCGATTTAGATATCAGACAGACTGGATGCTATGCCCTCTGTATCAGAATACGGAAATCAATCACTGTTGGGCCCAGTTCATGTAAGTATGACGTTCCAACATTTTTCGAGCACAAAAGGAGCTTGAGATGCATCGTACCAAAGCAACAGAACCTGTCTCTGACCTTTCTTAACCTTTTACGAAATTCGGGTAGCAAGTAACATGTTCACTCCTAAGCAGTTCCTCGGTGAATCAAACTGCGATTGACGAACTGGATAAAACTGCTATTGTCTCGGACCTTGAGCAGATCAGCCATGCGTCGCAGTTGGGAGCGAAATCCACTTCAAACATTTCATAGGAACACATTTCAAAGTCAGACTCCTTGAGAAAGTAATGGAGTTCTAGCAACTCTTCGAGTGCATTCATATGAAATGGAGTCGTAAGTTATCGACCAGACGATATTTTCGTACAAAATTTCGGACAAAATTAACCCTTGCACAGTTCGAGTCTCATCATGGGCCCTATAAGCAGTGCTTGGAGCCTTAGGTTGACCCGGAGCGATCTGGCTTGCTGCTCCGGTACCTAAAAATAATACCGGAGCTCAGCTCCTGTCCCTCGATGTCTTGCCTGTAATTATCTCGCACTTCTGGATTTCATAAGCAACTGTGCTCTTGTGTGAGTCCGAAAATCGAAATTTAAGTTAAAAAAAGGTGCAAAAAAAGTCCAATTCAAGCTCCTCAGACACCCCCCACCATAGTGTATAAGTAGGGTTTACATGCAGTGAGCTCCAGTACTTCGTTTCCTAGAAGTTAAGCAATGCACATGAGAAACTTTTTTTATCACAGACGCAGAGACTACGGTATTGTAATGGTCGATGGATATATTTGGAGGCACAGGATAGGACAAGAGAAAGGAGAGGAAGATGTACGGGCTGGTATCCAATCCATCACGACACAATAGAGGTTCATCATCCCAATTGCCTTCTTCCTCCTCCTCCCACTTGCATCCAGCTGAGACTCACTCGTGCTAAATACACAAAGGCCACCGCCAACACCCAGCTGAAAAACAAGCCATTAGGTGAAGTCCTTCTGGGCATTTCCAGGGGCCTTTCGAAGCGAGATCAATGTCAGGTCCTGTTTCATGTCCCTAAGAAATGAATCTGAAGGTCACAAGGGAACTCATTCTAGTCATCGAAAGGGAAGGGCGAGAGGAGTCGCTGCTTTTGATATGCCTATAGTGTCGCAAGAATCAAGCGACGTTAATTAGAGCAAGGGAGTTAGTTGTCATCTACCAGGACACAGTTATGGTTTCAAAGAAACCACCCAAGGAGGAAGGGAATGAACTCGATCCCTGTCTTCTTCTTGGGATCAAAGGATAAGACCAACTAAATCTCGAAATTCCATGACCAGAGGTATCCGACCAAGCAAGCTTTTCAGACAGGAGGGAAAAAATGAGAGAGAAAAAAAGGAAGGAAAATCGAAAAAAGGAGAAAAAAAAACATGTGTGACAGGATCCTGGGCTGACTCAGGATTAATTAGCGAAGGAGAGAGGCAAGATCCATGATCATAGCCGGGTTTCTCTCATTACGCATTCATCTCATGCCACGTAGCTTCTAAGATTATTCGGATTCAAGTACTCCACAGATCCAGTTCAGACACATCCAGATCCCATTTTTATTCTCATAAAAAAACAAAGAGCACACGAAGATATATGTCTCTCTGATCTCTCTCGGGACGAGAGGGAAATGAGTTGAGAGTACCACAGTGACATCACGTAATGCCTGGGAGGGCATTAGAATTTGAAAGGAGGACCCCGCCACATGACTAGATCCCACTCCGAGCCTCCTTCGATAAAGATGATGATGCTCTGCATCTCACTTCATGCCTCCCCTTGTTCAATGCCACACTTCCCAAGGGCGACCTCACCCATACGTGGGGACACTGCTTGATCCAGGTGCAGGCCTCGACTCAAGGGAGTCCCAGCCTTCAGCGCCCTCCCAGCTCCTCCATTTCAAAATCCTGTAATTGCAGTGTGCAGAGGTGCTATTCCACAATTTCATCACACGACATGCTATCATTATTATCACTTACATTCTGATCACACATTTGAAAAGCTCAGGGATTACAAGTCTTACTCAAAGCATACTTTATGCCGTTAATTTTTCACCCTCCTCTTGTCCTCACACCTATTCTAATCTCTACTTTACAGGTCCACTATTTTCTTCACATTTTCAAACAAGGTAAGGGTGTTCAATGATTTCTTCTTAGGAACTCGCGAAACGCCTGAGCTGCACGTATGCTCTTTCGAATTGAAAATAGGATTTACAAAATTGGAAGGGACTCGGATCCGGAGATCCGGGCCTCCTGCAGCCTCCTCTAAGCCGGATCATTGCAGATACCCTCATCGTATTTAGCGATGCATTTTACGTTCGTCGAAGTTTAGCTTTGACAGCAAAAATTAAATTTTTTTTTAATAAAAAAACAATGCTTCCACGACATGTAGACATATTGTTTGGAAAAAATAGGAGGCTTTAGAAAATAAAAAAAGCATTCGTGTTTAATCCCTTGAGCAAACATGAAACAACACTAGCATATAGGCATCATGCAATGGATAAAAAGGTAGAGTGAGGTCAGAGGGAAGAAAGCACTATCGCATGCGCATTGCAGTCTCAACGGAATTGAAGACAATTCCATGGCTATAGCAGAGAATAAGTGATTCCCGATGAAACATTGGAAATGGGAGAGGGGAGGACATGCAATCACGGCCGGGAAAATGAACAGCCACGCTCTGAGAAGGTACTCCATGTGAAACAAGAACCCATTCTCCACGCTTCTAGCCCTCTTGATACTCTATATAGGAGAAGAGATTCCGGTAGCTCCCAAGCCGATTACAAAAAGCCTCTTCCGCGAATCCTCTATTGACGTAGAGGCAAGGTTACGTGGAGCTGGGTTCCTTGTTTTCCCTTACGTGGCATCCAGAAACCAACATGCAAATAAAATCCGAAAGATGGAAACATACGAATTCGTGAGTCGAGGTCCACTAGAACCGAGGATGAACAAAACGGGGAACAGAGAGAAAGGCAAGAAGTGGAGAGACAAGAAATAGACAGAAGGGAGGAAGAAGTGATTGTATTACCTCTGGACCTAGGGCCGACCGAGGAGGCATGCTTTTTTTTTGCTTTTTTTTTGTCTTTTGAGGGGTAGTATGCTATACCGAGCTTTCCCTGTTGCTTCTCATCAAGGGTGTGAGCTGGGTGTGTTGTGGGGCTGGGGGTGACGGGGAGGTGCTCACACCCAGGGCTCGGGTTCGAGGGCGACCGTGGCCATGGCAACCATGGTCTATCGTCGCATAGACGGTCGGCCCATGCCCCCCTCCTCCAATTCCTCTTCTTGAACTCGTTCCGGAGATGTCCAACTCTGCGTACGTCACGTCCCCGTTCTAGATAATTGAACCAAACCGCAAGTCCATGTCAGGAGGGTCGATTCATAAAGCAGAATGTTGTGGCAGCTAAGAAGCAATATCGAAGCATTCGCCTAATAAGGCATAAAAACCTCGTAGCATCGGATGACCAGTGTATTTCTGCAGCTTCCTAGTTAGTGGGAGGACCCAACGCGATAGGTTACCTCTTATTTACCTTACAGTGCACTTGAGTGGTCCAGTAGGATCACGTTAATACTCTGGGGTACTCAAGGGGCAATTTTTGTTCAGACGCCACATTGCATAATAGGATGATTCATATGACTACCATTACGCATCGACATCCAGCATTCGAGCAATCTATCAGAGAGCCACATTTTTTTGCGTGTTTCTCGTTTTCTCTCTTTGCTCTTCTGCATTGCCTTGGACTGTCAATCTTGGAACCCGTTCCTGATCCGTTTCGCAGATATAATTATCGTGCAAGAAGGGGTGGGGGGAGAAAAAAGAGATAATCGGTCATGGTGGGTGAGGTTCCAGATTCGGAGGGGGGAGGGGAGGCGGGGCGAATCGGAGGACAATGGAGGTGCATGAGGGGGTGTCAAGAGGGATACGGGGACTGCTTGCTTCCTTCTGCCGTAGTGAAATCCATGGTGAAGCGGAGCAAACCAGGCAAAAACGACTGGATTATGTGATCGATTCTCTCGTCTCGCCCCGTCCATTGCGTGCCCGCATACAGACTCAGACGGGATCTAATCCTGCTGAACGCGCGCATGTTTACGTCTCGTTCGGTATCTGAGAGGAAATGTCGCCTAACCTGGAGGTACAAAGCTTCCAAAGAACGGGAGGAAATATGAAGATGATCGAAAGCTCCGTCCTCTCGATAAATGCTGAGAAAGTCTCAAGTTTAACTAGATACGTGACGTTCTCGGATCCTGAAGCGAAGAACATCTCTGCTTCATAAAACGGTCAAAAAACTCTAGGCCAAGGAATGGGGGGAAATGCCCGTTCATCTTCGAAGCGAGACGACGTCATGCACTCGTTCGATGGCGCGTTTCTCGATTTGACGGCCAGGTGGAACGCATCGCCAAGACAGATGAGAAAAACGTAGATAAAGAACGGTTTGCTCTGAAATAACAGGGGGGAAATGGACGTGGATAGTTACTCTCCCGTTCTTTCCCCGTCCTCATCTGTAGTTCGGTAGTCTGCGCTTTGAATGGGTGCAATGAAAATGCACAGTACCACGTAGAGGCTTTTTACGAGCGGATGTTATTTACCCTGAAATGCACGGGAATATGAAGTGAGAGTGGCTGAAAGACCACTAATGGAGAAACTCTCTTGCCTTTTTTTATTTCCTTCATAAAATAAGAATCCTTAGAAGGGAGAATTTGCAGCAGCTCTGATGGGGTTCTCCTACCAGGGAAACGAGAAATATCGAATCACTCGCTCCACGGTATGTGATCCTTCCTCTCCATTTGATCTCGGAATCTCACTGTAACGTCTGTATATGAGACATGTCTTCATGTCGTATCGGTTCTATGTCGTGGCATTTCGCCGAGATAACAGTATTGCCAGGCTTGCTGCCCATCATCGCCAGTGTCAATGGCGGCGAATGGAAAAAAGAGTCCTTGGGATTTTTCCCCTTGCCCTCTGTCTGGGTGATACGACGTTTCTAAAGAAATAACGCCGAAGCCGGAGGCAGAGATATGAATTCACCTTGACTCACTATTCCTCGTCTTTCATTACGAGTGCACCGGGGAGGTAATAAGGTGATGACTGATGGCATCTGTCCCACGACGTTCATGCAATGAGGCCACAAATTTACCGACCGGAATCGATAATCTTTACTCTACATTCCGACGGGAAGTCGACCTTGAGTTGATGAGTGCAGAGTCACGCTCTTGATATCATAGGGAATCAACAGGATAGGAGGGGCCGAGAAACAGATACACAAAACAAAGGGAGACCCTATATAATCAATATGATGTGACTCACCTGCTTTGGCAATGTGTTGAATTTTGATTGATAGCTGCTATTAGATGAGGGATCCCTCTCGTGCTCGTAATAAGGGATCACGTTGTTCAGCTTCAGGTGTTCTTTGTCGCTGCAAACGTCCGGGTAATCCAGCTCTGAAAGCGAAAAAAACACCATCCCATCATTCATTATGCCCTCCAGCAAGGCCTCATCACCATCATGGAAACAACATCAGTGACGAGGCAGATTCTTGTGTTTCCTCCAAGACCAGTAGCGAAAGGGAAAGATGTCCTATGTCATGCGTGGGCGACGATCTGGATATCGAAGAGACTAGTCCTGTGAGAGAGAGCCCTTTCATGAACATCCCTAATTCCGGAACCAGGGTACTTTCGATTGCTCTTCCAAGAAGACGAAATTATTCCGTGGCTGGTTGATTACCCTAGAGGGTATTCTAAGAATCGAAACCAGCCCTTATAGGATTAGCAGTAGGTCTCATGTTAGATGTGATGCGAAATTCCTGACCTCTTCTGGCTGAACGTGATACGTATGGAGGTTTTAAGCTGTCGTGCGAAAGCTGCAAGCAAAAGGAAACAAATCCTTAGAAGCATGTGTGCGGTAGGCATAACATGCTGCTTCGCGAAAGAGCGCAGTTTGAACAGCCTACACCCCCATGTGGCTATGACCCATGCAGTTAAGCGATGGAACAGCGCGTGGAAAGGCAGTATGGAATATCTCTCGAGATCAACGGAATCTGTCACGTCCGGTAAACAATAGCCTAATCAAAAGAAGCCGAGATTCAATATTGAAACTTATTTGAGTCCATCGCTGTCATTAGTACAGGTTGAAAATGGCTTATATGTGTAAGAGAAAATATTCGACACCATGAAAGACAAGAGTTTGGCCATGCCCGACACGAATCCTTCCCCCCCCCCTCATATAATGTCCATCTCAACCGTAGAACCCTTGGTACTAACCTTGGTACTCTCCCCTCTTCCAGATTGAAAAAAAGTACTCCAAAGCAACTAATCTAGCAAAATTCAAGCCTCATCCAGCGTCTGCATCCAAAAGCACGACAACGACTTAATTTTACCCTTTCTTTATCGAGATTCCTGCGGGGAAACACGAACAGAATTAGGAGTAATAATAAGAAAAACTAAATCACCTGCTCGGAAATTCGATCTCATGGATCCAGAAAACGGGGAGACGTAGAATTGTATTCTCAGGTCATGATATCAACCTGGACCATGTGAAAAGACGAGTAGGAGCTCAAGAAGTGCACAGGCTCTTTTGCGGTGGGCAGCGCGAGTGCATTTAATTGAGATCCAGAACGATTGGAAGCTGCCAATGCTATTTGCAGTGGGGAAAATTTAACAGTTAAAATACCCGCTAAAAAAAAAAACTGGTTTTAGCGAAATAGCTTCTGTCTCTCCCTCCCTCCACCCTTTTTTTTTAATCGGCAGACTTGATTTATTCTCTGTTAAACAATCAAGTTTTAACTTTGCTTGGAGTATCAGACTTATTCCCAAAGAGAGAGGAGAGACCGAGAAACCTGGATGGTTAATCACCCGTCGACAGGAAGTAATTTCTGCACGGGTGGAAGTTTGTAGGGAGAGGGAGGTGGCTCTGGATGTCCTGAAGGGTGCTAGGGAGTGATGTGCCTGAGATCGATGCTACGAAGGGAGGGGAAAGGGGGTGATAGATTGCGGGGGAAAAGGAAGAGTAACCCCCTACGCGGATCACTCACACACACAGGGAAGTAGCGATAATTAGACGGTGGTGCAATCCAAGGAGGTCTCCTGGGAGAGACAGGAAAAGAAGGAGGATGCACTGTCCTTAATCAGACTTCATCCGCAAGGATTTTTGCTCTGATTCTTTCTCCCTGTCCATCATCACACCCCATCTTCTGTAGCCTGGGAAGGGAACCAGCTGACACGCCGGAGAGAATCGAAACGCCATTGATCTAAAGGATTTCGTGGCACTTTCTTTTTAACCCTCGATATTCCTCGATACGCTTCCGACATATGAGACGAATGTCACATATGTCGGAATTTGGATTTCGAGTTGCGAGTATAAATTAGCACTTTATACCATTCTCCACCCAGAAAAAGTATTTGTGGTTTCCTCTCAACCTATGATCAATCTAGTAATGGTCCATTACCACGTGGATGCACTTTCACCTTTATGTCGTCACATAATTGCAATCCATTTCTACTTCACACCGTTCCATGACTTTGCTCTCGCAATCGAAGGATTCGAAAATTTTCGCGATAAAATCAATTTTTGACCTCTAGAATTCGCTGGGAAGGAGATCCCCACGAGTAAACAGGACTGCTGTTGCATCAGAGCCAGGGTTAATATGGGTGTGTCGGGGAATAGATATTGTGCACACAATGGGGCCCTGAGAGATGAGATCGAAGATGAGATGGAAATCAAGCGGCGTTCACATCCGCATGGGGAATATTTAACGGGGTATAACAGGGTTCCCTTACCCTTGTCTGAGGAGAAAGTGACACTTCCCCCTAACACTGATAGCGTCCACTCTGACAGACTCGTCAATTTATTACCTCATGGAAATCCTCCCTTCCCCACCTTTCCCACCTCCCCCGTCACGCATCGATCACTTATTATGTGAATGGTCCCCTGTAGAACATGAGAATTCCATTCTCACAGGGACTTTCCCTGGTCGGATGTACTACGGCTGATGTGGGACTGAATGAGTGTTTTTTATTTTATTTATCACATTCACCTTCCCTTGATCACCAGCCTTCCCCTGAGCAGGGAGGGAATACTGGTGAAAATTTCCTCATATCTGTGATGAGATTCATGAATGTGGTGATCCTCTCTCCTCCCTGCCTTTTGACTCGAGCATGACGGATGGCATCAAAATATTCACGATGCCCCATAGAAACTTCTCGACCAGGAAGAAGGCTTATCGACTCCTGGCCGGGCAGACTGGAGCCTGCCAAGATTTGGAGGCGATTGGAGGTGATGGTGCCTGATGGACACCCAAATCGATGCTAAGCCGTTAATCCAATCGAACCAAGCAAAAAAGAGGAGCACGAATGTCGTGACGAAAAAACTTCTTGGTCCATACATAATGATTGCTGGGAGGGCATGACCTTCATATCGGATGGAGTTACAGGGCAATTTATAGTGAAACCGGACCTATAGGCAAGATGACTGGGATTCCGGGGACGTCGATGCACATGCCATATTTATCGCCACTGCAGGAGTCATCAAAGAGGTTCGGAATGTAGCAAGCGGGTATTCAAAGCCAGACCGCCTTAAAGAGGACAGGAGACAAAAGAGTACATTCACCTTGAGGCTGAAGAGGAAGATCCGAATATTTGTCGACACCATAGCAGTCTTCTTCGACGTCAGTCTTGAGAGGGATGGAAGCACTAGGACAACCTTGATCCCCCACACTGCCGCCAGAGGACTTATGCTTCTGTTTCCTGGGTTTGGCATCTCGGAATCTCATGACGACGACGATGATCAGGGCTGCCATCACCAGCGCTGCCACGACTCCGATCAACACTCCTAGAATCGGTGTGATTCGGAATGGACCGATACTGGACGAAGGCTGGGCTACTCCAGAAAACAATAAAATATGACATTTTCAATTTTGATATCGACTTTGCCGACGTCTTATGAAGACAGGCAATAGTTGCCCTTTTGCTTTATTACGGTGCAAACTATAATCCGGTCAATCATGAACCGTTCAATGGATTAGCCGAATTTTGATCAGCACGTAATGAATCTGATAGAGGAAAAGTCCATTCCGATCCATTGCGACGACAGGTCAACTCCCATTCTATTACTGTTATTATTCTCATTTTTTCTGCTCATAATGTTCTTGGTTTGTGTATATAACCTGAACTATAAAGAAGCCATTGCGGAAAACAGGGAGCCAGTTCTATTAAATTTCGAGTCAATTAATCGGTCGATGTCGATTAAACTAATCGAATTGGCATCCTTAATTTTTTGCGGCGAAGAGTTGGTCCCTGTCTATTCTTGCAGAAACGAGCCGATTTCATTACATCAATCATGCCGTCATCTCCCGAAAAAAACGTGACCGAGAAGCCAAACAAGCACTTAATCAAGCGATCTTGTTCGAAAGAATGATCCAAGGATACGTTGGGTCAATTTGACCTATTACTTAGCAGGTTTCTAAATGAGATTAGCCGAAAGGGCAAGGCCGAGTCGATTGACCCCAAGCATGTGGTCAGTCTTTGGGGGTTCCTGGTTCAAGGCATCATATCTCATCATCATCATCATCTTCATAATCCTTTCTCATCCTTCACTTCATAACGATGGGTTTACAGGTACAAAACAACATGGTTATTCCACCAGAACGAACCAGGTAGGAGTGCTGATTTGCATATTAAAACATAATTTTGAAAATGTTCATATGCCAACGAGTATGATTCGTGTGATACGCACGGTTGTTTTCGTGAGAATGTGCTTGGTTATGCGCATGGAAGGTGTGGCCTTTCTGCCACACCTTCCGCGATCGGGGAATGCAGATATAACTCACGTTAGGATTATGAGAGAAAGGAGAGAGATAAACCGTGCAATCTCGGCTGGTTATCTGGTCATGCAGAGCCGAAAATCCCCGCCTTGATTCTCTTCCAACGATGAAGCAACATCTCAATATATCGACAGGCGGAAGGCAAAGGTCACGAAAGGAAACACGAACCCTCCCTCGCATCTTCTCTCCATTACCACCCATCCCTCTCTACGGTCCGTGCAGACTTCACTTTTCGATTATCAGTGCTACTCCCAACGGAGCCTTTTCTCGTCCCTTCTGCACCCTCTCTCAAATGTGTTGCCTGGCTCCCGGCCAAAGGCAATCAAGAACTTTAATCCATAGATGTCAGCCTTACTCTTCCGCTATACCAACTCGGCTACTCATTAAGACCCGTTGTCATCCTTGAGTCTCAAAACATTTATATTGTATTGCGTTGTATCTCCCCAATTCTCAAGTAATCTGTAAAATCTATGTTATAGACAGTGGATGGGAAAAGAATAAGAGATCCCCATCTCAAGTGAGACATACGAGGCACGGCTAACGCATAAGTTTCAATTCATTGTATTCGTGATTAGATCGAAGTGAAGGCAGCTGGACCATAGGATATTGATGGAGGCCATGGGGTTTTTCCCCCTGCCTCCACTGGCGTCACATAAATAACGAAAGGTGTGCGATCCTGATGGTATCGTACCGTCCTATATATTTCAGACCGGGGCGAGATGGACTGCACTGCGCAGCATGAAATAACTGACCTCTCATGTTCAGCTAGATCAGTGAAAGGCGCTGAATTTCATTCTCACGCAGTGTCACTCCATCTAATGGATTCACACTAGAGGACAAAAGACGTTCGTCCTCCTTTCTTCCCGGTCCGATATTGATATAATCGTCACGTTGAGTCGACTCGAAGTTGCGCCACACAAACAAGCGAAACGACGAAGGTCCATTCCATTCCTATAATGAGAACCTGTCCAACGAATGACTCATGCCGTCCTGTCCTCACGCGATCTCGTGTGCAGAGAAAACCCTTTGGGACATCATTAGAACAGCAGGCATGAAGGCTTTCTGGTCATCTCGATTTGCATGCAAGTCTGTCTCTCTGTTTAGACTCTATATTCACCACGTGATATGTGTGGCAGGAGAGAACACTCACCTGTGTTGGAATCCAGGATTCGTTCTGGGAGCCTCAAAGTATGACCCTGGAGAACGACGTTTCCGCTTCTTCCCTTTGCATTAGTCGAGTAGAGAGAGAGAATGACGTGGCTGCCAGGAACCAAGTCCTCCAACGAGAATGACGGGCTGTTCCTCGTAAGATTGGTGAGAAGTGTGTGAGGCGAAGTGGCATCATAGACCTCCAGCGCGAAACTTTGCACCAGACCCCCGTCAAAGCCTTCTACGCAGTCCACGTCCATGGATGTCGATGTGTGGTTGGTAATGGAGCAGTTAATCGGGGGATCCGGAGCCCCCGCTGGGACCACGTGGAATGCACATGGTACTGCTTGGTTCCCAATAAGATTAAGCGCCCAGCATAATACCGTCCCATAGTCCTTCTCCGTCATTGGGGTGTAACGAAGAATGCTCTCCTCTGGGCTCTTGGTGAACAGAGACTGGGCAATGTCCACAATCTCTTGAGAATTGTTGAAACTCCATCTGTAAGCTGTCGCACCTGGAATGGACTCCACGGAACACCGGATTTCGATCTCTTCTCGCCGTCCTGCCCCGTACACTAACTTCTGTCCAGTAGCACAAATCGGAGAGACTGGAGGAAACAAAGAAGACCAACGCCCAAATCAATGTCAAATCCAGTACTGTAGTCGTACCCATTTTATCTGACTACAGTATACCAGTTTATCATGCATTCTTACATCGAACGTTGAGGATGACGGCGTTGCTCGTTCCCACACCTTCAAGATTACTTGCCAAACAGGTATATCGACCTGCTTGTGCCTTCTTCACCCGTTGAAGCACCAGGCTCTGATTGCTGAGGATTATCCCCTCGCTCACATTATGGGACAGAGGCTTCCCCTGCAATCACGACATGAATTGATGTTCTTTATGTGTTTTCTTTTTCCAAGCCCTCCTTCCCCTATTTCTTTTGGGAGCTATTTTTTTTTTAGAGCATAATCGGCATCACGAAAGGGGTGAGGGAGGGAATGGGACATGTTTCCCTGAGTGGCACGCAGAGGCAATCAAGGGAGGAGAGAACCTCAAGGGAGGCGGGAGAAACAGGTGCATTTTTCATGAGGTTTTTTGGCCATGCTCTGCATGGGGAAACCCCATAATTTTAGGGAATAGACCAAGGGCATAAACACGCGAGAGCAATTTCTCCAATTTCCGTCAAATGATCTTTCCTCCTCTCCTTAGCCCTATCTATGCTCTCGATCATGCACGTTGCAGTCCCCCTCATCAAGCGAGTCCATTACAAACAGTTCCAAGTTGTTATCAGGGGGATATAGTATGCTACTTGTGACGAATGCTTCGCATTTAGGTTAGGTAAGTGAATGAGGAAATAGCGTCCAATGGGGTCACAAGGCATAAGGAGTGGGAACTGAAGAATCGGGTCTATGCACTCTCGATAAGAATTCCTTCTCGGAAGTGCTTTTTACGACTGACGCCACCAGGTGACCCTCAGCAGGAACTGGGGGCTACAATTCCTGCGTTTCCTACATTTAATCTGCACGAGGGCTGGGTGAAGAGGGAAGAGTGAAATAAGGGTTGAAAGCCTCGTCCAATTACTGGAGTCGCACAGGGGCTGTGAACTTCTCCATTTCCGTCTTCGGAAATTACCATCGACAAACCAATTACGGTAGGATAAAGTGTCACGGAGCACAGATCATGGCTCTCGAAAATCGCGTGACAAGTTCCAACAATACTTCCCTCTCAGAAAATACGAGTTGGTAGTGGGACCATGTGAAAGGGAATCGGTTTCGTGTCCTGAATTGTGAGTGGGATACACGACCTCAAAGAATTCGTTATATACCGAATGAGAAATGACGTGACATTTGTGAGACAAGTTCAGAACAGAGTTTCTCCATTTCCTTGCAACTCCAACCCCATTTCCTTCTTGAAGTGACATCCAACTCCCCCAGTTTCCACCTATTTTTACGACCTACAACACATGCGATGGAGTGAAGGAGGACTTCTGTAATCCTGTCCTCAGCTGGGATCGCTGACAGCTCATGCATTCACATTCTCGGGTCGAGGTTGGTAAAAGTGATGGAATATAAATAATGGGAATAACTTACGTCATGTTGCCAGGAGATCTTGTAGACAGCTGGACTGGCGCTGACATGACATTCGAAATAAACGTCATCTCCTTCTTTGATGGCTTTCGGATTCAGACTTTTCCCCAACGACAATTTCGCCCTGGGTACATCTGGAACACGAAAACTTTCACTTTCTTTTCTACCCTGAAAGGAAAATCCCATTAGACTCTACTATTGACATATGAACAAGATTGTAATGAAAACTGTCATTCCTTCCTTATTAGCGAATGAAACAAAGAAAGGAAGGAAAAGAATGGGCTGCGTATGCCTGTGCATGAGGTTGGCGACATTAGCAAGACAGAACACCTTCGCAATAGCAATGACTAGCCTCATGTATGGCATGAACTAGTTGCGTGCTCAGCATGAAGAGGAAAAAATCCCGGGCCACAGAGATAATTCCCAGATGACATATAGGGAGTTAATGACGAGGAGATAATTATCTTCGAGGCTGACCTCTGGCCGCGGGGGCCGTCGAACTTCTTCCACGGACGAAGAAAATTATCGCCTATATACGAGCGGGAGAAATCTCTCGTCTCATTCAAATCCCGCCATTGTTTGCGCCGTAGGGGTCAAGAAGAGAGACAAAATAAGTGCTGAGAGAGACCATGTCCCAAACGGCTCCTCCACGCTCCATCGACTCCTTCGCGTCTATTCCCCCTCGTATTGTCTGGCGTCCTCAAACGAGATCCCTCATGCTCGCGAAGAAATATTTCAAGGGGAGCATAAAGACCCATGGAAAAGAAAGCGACAAGCGAGCAAAACCGTGGTTAAGGTCTCGGGCTAACACGTAGGAGGTCCAGGTTCAAATCTGACTGATGACAGGCGGTTTCCTCCGTCTGCTTTCAAGAACTACATGCTCTGTCTTGTGCTCACGCATAGGCCATTCCGAGCTTCATCGAGTGAGAAATAGGGGCGTGATGCGCCTCAATAACTACCCATCGCATCGGCTCTTCGATGGTCTCGACAAATAACGGCATATAATGACGTTTTAGTGGCAATCGCTGAAAGACAATCTTGGAACTCTCTTCTCTGCAAGTTTGTTGGAAATATTAATGTTTCAATTAAATCTCCTTGAGTCCTCCGTCCCAGAAGGCACAATACTGTCAGGGATGTCTTATTTTAAGATTCACTTTACTTCTACTATACTAGTGGAATTGTCTATGTACGTATGTGAGCACAATCCACGTTTAAACATTAAAAAGTTACGAAATTAAACTTTAAAAAAAGGACAAGCGAGCAAGAAATCTATGAATTGGGTCGATTAACGAAGACGTGGCCGGAAGGGAGTAGTCATTATGGCTTCCCTTCAACTCTTTCACGACGTTTCATCTTCGATGATTGCATTATGGAATGCCGACCTGATTGCTCCGGTTATACTGCACCAGACAGATGAATGTGACATGGAAGCATGTTTCAGTGGCCAATATCCGGACAGGATGTGTAATGGCTGAAAGCTGTGCACGCAACCCATTACTAGAGCATCAGAGCATACCCTGGTTATAGTTAGGGGTGAGGGACCTAGGAATTGATCTGGTTTCACCGGACGCACAAAAGCACCTTGATCGCCCATCTTACTGGATAATTGAAGAGAAAATGAACTTACAATAGATTTCCAGTTCCCAATGATCCTCGATGGTAGAATCCGGAATTTCCGGATTCTCGGCTCGGCACACCAAGTGCTTGTTGATGTCTTGCACAGAAGCGGTGAATTCCAATGTGCTTGCCGTAATATTCCCGTCTGCCGAGTGCTGAATGGTGAGAAAAAAAAGAAATTTCCTTCAAGTCATCGATCCGCGTTCTAGTGCATCGAATACCAGTAAGAAGGGATCAATCGACGTTTGTGCATTATAAAGCATGCATGAGATAGGTCTTGCTGCTGTCAGCTCACTTGCATGTGCAACTGACTGCATCTGTTCCCTTTCGACCCGATTCCCCTGCCATGCTACAGTACATGCATATACTGGCATTTTATACTGTAGTCTGATTAGTCGGAACTCCTTCCACGCCACAGGGACTCATTTAATCCCGTAAAATGAAAGGGCACAGACGCTCCACTGCTTTAGAGGCATTAATCGTGGGCTCATTAGCCGAAGACGATCATTTCCAAAGTCAGCGGGGTTTCTCGAGTGCAGCTGTCCGGCCGATTGGCGCAGGAGGAGGTCCGTGCCGCGTACGGTAGGTAGCCAAGAGGAGAGAAAAAAATTGAGAAAAAAACAACCAGTGCCCGATAGGAAAAGGAAGTAGTCAACTGACCGAGTTATGCAAAATACCTGATAATGCGGAAGGTCCACCACCATAGATTGAAGTACAGCAAGACGAACCGGAGGAACAAAAAGGAAAAAAGGAATTCTCGTACCAGACTCACCGTTTCCCTGGCAGAGGCAAGTTGTTCGGCACCCCTCCACCAGGTGATTCTGGCCGGAGGACGAGACCCCAGGCTTCGACACGCTATCTCGTACATCTTACCCGCCGACAACGGCTGCCTGCTTCCCAGGATCCGCACTTCGTAGGGGCGAACTGTATAAACGATAAAACAAAAAATTCCGTTAAAGAAGAAGAAAAAGAAATGATTCAGAAGTGTCCTGCGAAGATTCGCATCTCATAGTCCAAATTGCCCATCCCGAGTGAAGACCCCAAGTTGGATCTACGCAGGGAAGAAATTCCACGGATTTTTTCATTTATTGGATAGCGAAATGTAACACGTCCGTTAAGGGGATCTCGTTCCGGATGTAGAGACCCTTCCGCATGCTGAGCAGGAAGGCATTTATCATAGAGCGACTAGGCAAGTGGAAAATATTACATAGGAATTATTCGTCGTATGATTTTCGTGACTAGCCCCGCAGATGAAGATGGCATAGTGCCTAGCATTCATCTTCGCGGAGAACGACTCCATCGATAATAAAAAATGCTTTCATCATTAATTCCCCTCCTTCCTTTTGCGTCACCTCCACGGTCATGAGCCAGACACTTCCAGGGGTGTCCCTTTTTCCCCCTTCCCTTTTACGACGCAGAATTCATTCTAGTGATGGTTTTCCATCTGCAGGAATTGCGTCACGTCCCATGGTCTGTTCCAGTGTGATGACTTCGCATTCTTTGCGGAAATAAAAACCTCCGCCGAGATGAGCAGGAAAGCAACACGAACTTGGCAACCGATGGTAACGGCGGTTTTTTGTCTTATATGTTCTATACAGTCTGGCTGAAAAGAAGGAGCCCCTTTGGCCCTAGCAACCCCGGTTTCCGGCTCCGTAGGAGAAAGATAGATTTGTCGGCTCTTCCTGAGGGGAATGAGGAATGAAAGATGGTCCCTGACAATCCCGGCCTTCATTAATTCATTCCGGGTTCTCACGGTTTATTGAGTTTCGACGGGTGATGAACTGTTTTGGCAGGTGTGAAGTCTCGTGCCAGTGTAAAAGCATCATTTGTCACAGAGTGCCCTCCTTGCATTTATAGCACAAGTCGAGGATCTTCCAGTGACATTACCCCGAGCGTATTCACTTTTCCCTCTCTTTTTGTGGGTAGCCAATTCGTCAGCTGGGGAATGCAGAGGCCAGCAGAAGGGGGGCCATTGGCCGCATCGTGGGAGACAGGGTGGAACTGGAAGTGGAAGCGGATAAAGGGAGAAAAACATCAAAGACCTTCTCACTGAGGAGGCAGTAGATTAAACGTCAAACGGAATGCGAATTTATGGGCCACGCAGAAGGAAGTCAGTCTTTTTTGTGCCATTTACTTACTGTAGAATCTCCCCCTCCGTCGTTCTATTCCTTCCAGGCGATTGTGCATCAGAGGCAGAATGAATGCGAGCCACGACCATGCGGCAGATGCAAACAGATAGGATAAAAAAAAAGAAAGAAGACATTTCCCATGCCCCTTTTCCTCATTCCCCCCTTCATATCTCCACGAGATGAACGAGATACAAATCCCGAGGAGAGTCGCTCTCTCTTCGTCTTTTCCATGGCGGAATGAGGCGACGACGGGAAGAACACGAATCTGGGAGAGGGACAATAACCATAGGGTGCAGGTGGGTCTCAGTCCATTATGGATGATCCATTGCCATCTAGGGACTCCCTTTTGTTTACCAATGGGTATGCCAGGTAATGGGAATGATTAATTTCAGCCGTCATCATCTAGGACGTAATGAAACGTCACCAAGACGAGGACAGGACTGTGATGGAAGCTGAATCGATCAGCAGTTTCCTTCTCTCCCTGCTCATTACATCACCCAATGACGTCTTCCTAATCCTGAATCAGTATTCAAAAGGTCAATTGAATATCCCTGATTTTCAACCTTCGAACTTTTGCGAACAGAGCAGATACCTGTAGGATCTGACACTTTTCTAAAGGCCAAGGTTCAAGAGTCAAGGTAGTCGTTCGTTAGGAATCTCCATCCTTTCACCAGAGCAAATTGAAATTGGAATGGGACTCTTGGGATCCACTTGAGTCGAATTGATAGCGGAGGGCTCATGAAAATGGAATGGATGCCTGAAACGAAGATGAAAGGCGATGGCTGGTTTCTGCCAAGGGGTAGAAAGGGGAGACAGGAGTCAAATAGCCGGAGCGAGATGGGGATAATGAAATTACTCCACGGCATCGATACCCACAAGCGGTCTTCTCTTCATAATAATTAATAAATTGCCATGATGGAACGTAATGCTCCCGTATTCCTTGCCTCCAACTTGGCCTTCTCTCATTAACCTGATTTTCAATGTAAAAGACTCTTCTCGGAAGCAGGGAACGCCAACCGCGATGAACAATGCATCTCGATGAGGGGGATCTGCATAACACTCTTCAAGCCTCGTTCCTTCCTCTTTAGGGCTCACTCCTTCCCGTCTTCGGGTCGCTTTTTTTCCCTCTCAGTGAAAGGCATCAAGAGGTCATTCAGAGCTTTGGAATTTTTTTGCTCCACGGCTAATGAGCTCAGTTTTCATGAGGATAATAATTATCGACCCTCCCGTGCGGAGCTAATTATAAGTGCGAAGTTGAATAAATGCGTGCCTGTAATGGTACCCTTTCACACGAATAACGGTGCGAGTGATCTGACCAGGGCGATGAAGAGAGGAAATGGCCACTTGCCCTAAAGTCGTCCTTCATCGCCATCTGTCTGTGTGGGCCATTATGCCGTTTCGTGGACAAGGCCGACGGGAATATATGGCTAGCAATATCACTTGCTATTTACTACACTTCTGGTATCAAACCCATTACATGAAACAGAGCCTTTCGTAAGTAACTACTCTATTCAGCCAAAGTAATGGTTCACGACAGGGAAGTAAAAAAAATTCGGACAAAAAGGATAGGCTTATATATCTCCGAGCAAGGAATGGAAACAAAGAATGGGGAAACGAAAAAGATCGGACAGACTGAGAGGCAAGGAAGGGTTTCTTGGCAAGGTCTCTCTACGATGAGATGAGAGGGAGGTGACATTGTAATCACTTCATCCATCATCACATGGCATTCGTTGCATTTGCTTCGTCCAAATTGTTATGAGAAAAACGGGTGACCCGAACCGCCTTTTGCATTTTGCATGAAGAATGTCTTCATATAATCCCAGCCTCGGGGGAACAAAAGGACTCGGCGCTCCCAGAGAACACGGCGCCTTCATTAGTGAACTGCAAAGGCGTTTCGAGTCGAGTTTTCCAACTGGGGCGGGCACTCATTTCCATATTAATCGACGAGAGAAGAGGAAAATATGCCGCTCTCAGGAAAGGAAAAACAGAATTTCAATTACGTCTGTATGCGGAGATGAGGGGAAGTTCTAATTATTTCCCGCAATTCTCTAATCTCTCTGCGGCCAAAATGCCATCAATCTTTTTAGCGAATTTCCCTTGTCTTAATGTAATATATGGACCGGATGAAATAAAAGTCAGCCCCTGCACGTCAACCCTTTTGTTGGATGGGGTGAAAAAGCGCCCATTATTGTCCGTGATTCTTCATGCATTCTGCCGTATCAGATCCAACTTCCTGGCTGATCACACCCCGGAACAAAGAACGAGAGAGGGAATGACGACTTACAATTCATATCGAGGCTGACAGTATTGGAGACGGGGACGGTGACGTTGTTGTTGGCAGCCTGACAACTGAATGAGGACCGGAGATTCTCCCGTTTCAGATTGGGGATCTCTAGGACGTTGCGAACCTCCCCGTCGGGGGTCGTCGTGTAAGTGGCATCCAACAGAGCATTCTCGTGCCACCATGTCAGTCGAGGCGGTGGTCTCCCTGCAATCAACATCATCATCCTTATCATTACCTTCATCTTGTATATTGCAAGACTATATTATAGGGGGAGTGTTGGGGGGGGAGGGGGTCATCCCTTATACCTACTGGCTGAAATCCAAGCTCAACCACTCATGTGGAAACAAAGGGCCATACGGTGAGAAGAAAAAGGACAACAAGAGAGAAAGGGCTCAAATAGCGGCAGGCTTTTGATATCGGCAAGAATAATGGATGCATGAGAAGAGGGATCGGATGTCAGAGTCAGGGGATACAATGCCTCAGTCGATAAATAATGGCATTATGCGACATAGGCTCATTGGTGATGACACGACTTCCCTCTTGGGAGAGGGCTGTCAGTGAACGAGACCGTGAAGTGGAGGAACATGCATGAGTATGCAATCAGGGTTAGATAGGTTTTACAGCATGCCGAGCGTCGAGAAGAGCAACGGGGTAAAAACGAGTGACGACCGCCGCTGACAGCTCCGTGATTGTCGTCAAGCTTGTTGGTGAGCACGAATGGAGAACGAAAGAAAGAAGTCGAGAGGGAGATCGAGGGAAAGCGAATGAGGAGCCACGAGGAGGCAGCAAGGACGGAGGCGGGAGAAATCAAGGAAAAATCATGCGAAAAGGAAGCTGATTTCACGGTCTTACCTTCGGTGGATTTGCAGGTGAGGGTGAGGTTGTCACCTTCGGAGTAGGGGCCGAGGACATTTTCTACTTCCAGGCCAGACTTGTCGAAGATCTTGGGAGTTTTAGGCGGGACTAGATTGATGAGAAAAGAGGACATGGGTGCAATCAAGTTTGTTTCTCTCCGGCCCCTTTCCTTTTCCTCTCCCCCTTTCTTCCCCCCTTTCTAAACTCCGTGTGTGTCTGCGTGCCTAATGTTAGTGGGATTCATCCCTGTCTGCAGATGTCTCGAAATGGCTTTCCCTGGCACGAGGTTCTTTCATGCACCTAATAGGAGCCGGCACGCGATGTACATTAGATCGAATCTTGATTGCCTCCCCCATTATTTCTTGGGAGGAGGGAAAGAAGAGAAGCCGACCAGCTAACTTTCCTCGTTCATTCATTACAATGACTCTCTTCCATTTTCCGTTCGCTCCTCCTTCCTTCACTTCGTAGTGCTTCCTGTCTCTGTTATTATGTACTTAGCGTAATCGACAGGGTTGTAACTGTCCATAAATAAATTAACATCATCTAGGCGTGGATACATCCCTAATTTCGTTTTTTCTATCGAATTCATACATCCTAAACTCTCGGGTCCCATGAAGGCCTGGTTGGACAAGACGTTCGGATTCTTCGTCTTTTTTCATCCTTATTTAGTATGCAGATAAACACCTTTTTGTATGCATTTACTTTGCATGAATTTACACTCCATAAGCAAAGGTGATCTTCCATCTGAAATATTATTACAGTCAGCACCAACGTCAGAGCAGAGAATGAATGGCATATTTTATGAGTGGGGAGGGGAGAATCCAGAGGGAATTCGAAAAAATAAATGGAGCATGTCCCATATGGTGCAACGTGTCAGCAGGATTTCTGGAGGGATTTTCAATAGAAAAGCACTAGGCTTACTGTAGGTCCACCTAATCGTATATATCTATGTCTGAGGAGCTGACAGGTTGTCACCAGGGCGAGGAAAGCTCTTCCACCTACACATACGATTCTCATTCCCCTGTCCAATCCCCTTCCTCACGCGTTTCTCTCGAGGGAATCTCGATGGGGATGATACAGAAATGAAAAAAGAATATCAGTCGATTTCCTGAAAGTTTCTCGGAATCCCGAAAGATCTACGTCATTCACCTTCCATTCTCTGCTCCAGAAGCTCCGGAGATATGTGCATACAAACTGTATAAAAGGAAGAAAAGACAGTGACATACCTATCACAGTGAGATTGACGAGCGAATTCCTGGTGGGAGACATTTTGAAGTCGACACGGCACCGATAAATGCCTTCATCCTTGGAACGGATAGCTCTAATGGCTAAAGGAAAGGCATCTGTCGGATCCAGAGAGGCTCTTCCACCTAAAAATACGTCGTCGGCCCAAGGCTTCGCATCGTCGAAGTTTCGTCCTCTCACGTCGAAACTACAAGCACGGGAAAATGGGTGGGGGGAAATCAGCAAGTTCCATCATCTGACAGTCACAGAGGTGCCGCGTGTATGAATTTATGAGCTCGTTGACGATTTTCATCCAAACGACTTCGTTGTTTACATAAACATTAGTCTCACCACGCATTCCGTCCAGAGTGCGATGCTATCTTTATGATTTGGAACTTTGCACAATGACTGGCACAGAGCAATTACGAGGATTCAATTATGGCTACATACAACGTGTTATAATTTTTTTCCTCATGGTATCGTGACATCAAGGCTCATTGAAGGCAGTTTTCTTTTGCTCTCAAGGGCAACACGACGAAGCTTAACAAAGGCCGTACGTGGATCAATATTTTGAAAGGCGTCACGTGAAAGCTGTTCTAGCAGACATGGTTCGAGCGAGAACAAAAGCGAAATCCCTGTAGCAGTCCTGAAAACATGCGTCTAATGATGCCCTCGGAGAAGAGAGTGGGGGAGAAAAAAAGAAAAAAAAAGAAATTAATCGGCGTCTCAAAGAAAGCCACATCAGAGAAAAAATGACCGTGATGGCCCCAAATTAGATCATTTAGTTTTGATAAGATCCTCAGAAGGAATGACCTATCTCTGGGAATAATAAGGCGCTGGAGGGAAGAGAGCATAAAAAAAGAGGACCGATTCACGTCGAACGATATGTATGTGGATCATAAAAGCCGCGATTCCTTTTTACTCTCCGATGGGCAGCTGATTTCATCGTCTGATATGAGAATGGACACGACACTGCGGATTTCTTTTCGACTTGTGTGGGCGACCGGCCCCGAGGAGACTTTTATGGGAGCACCATCGACCTGAGGAAAAACAGGGACGTCGAATAACCTGTAAATGGGAGATCCTGTGTCTTCTCGGTACCAGAGGACGAGTTGCACTCGATCGTCTGGTTGCGGGGTTGTGAGGTCGCAAGGAAGTCGAACCATGTCTCCCTTGATTGCCACCATCGTATCTCGCCAAACTGAAACAAAAAAAAAAGAGAGAACGAAATGTGAAAAATCTCATCTCCGCGAACTGTCTGGGGATCGCATGTGCAAGCAGGGATAATGAAGCAGAAAATTGCCTTCTCTCCTGCCTTTTCCGATATATATATATAACCTCATTCATTCTATCCTCCATTGGCTTCCTTTGATGGGTCTCTTGTCTAGGAGCCAGAATGAGACACGTCGCAGAATGAGATATGTCACCACTGCACAATCTTCGCAGTCGGTGGTTCGAGTCGACCGACTAGCCGGTACGATATCCGGTTCGAACGTGGTTCGAGCTGAGGACGGAAGGGAAAAGGGTAATATACGAGAGCTGGCCCCGCCATATATTTAAAGGAAAGTACGGAACTCGGCACGGGGAGGGTCTACATATTGAGGGCACGAGAATGAAAAGGCAAAGGAGGAAAATTTAAAACCCATCCATCTTTCCGGCTTGCATCGCACGATTGGAGCTCAGAGAGTGATGAATGCCGAGGGATTCCATTGAGAATCAATAGGTTCACGAGCATTAATTCCTGGGCTCCAAGATGGATTGTGCGCCTCTAGATTGGCTTCATCGGTGGCATATCGCCGGAGCCTCGATCATGCAACATTGATGGGGCATTGCGTGATGGGCGGGGAGAGAGAGAGAGAAACCGAGAGGGGAGAGAGAGTGAAACAGAGGGGGAGAGAGAGAGAGTGAAACAGCGAGGAGAGAGGGTGAAACAGGGAAAGAGAGCGGGGGAGAGAGCGAGAGAGAGAGAGAAGGGGGGGGGGGAGGTTGGAAATGGAGCTGTTGTCACTCATTGCAACGAAGGCAAGGTTCGATTAAGGGCCCAGGTCTGGCTGGCCTTGCGTGATCTTACGGCTTTCTCCAGACCCAGCCGTTTCCCTCCCATGAATCTTTGCATGCACTCTTGCCAACACCTTTCGAAGGCTCTCCCGCCTCTTTTATTATCAACCCGATCACCCCCTTCCCACATACGCAAAGGTCGCATCCATCTCCCCTGCATTATGCCACGATTATGCCATCGGCTGTGCGATGCCAGCCTCCAGCACAGCAATTTGACTTGACACGTGATTGACAGTGATTTCGACTCATTATCCTGCCCAAGAAAGCTCGATGAACCTGACATTGAATAAAACTGATAGAAATAACTTTGGAGAAATAACCTACATTTCCGTGCGTTCCACGCGCCAGGAGGGACGATGCTTCTGCGGCCTCTTCATGAATAAGTCAAGATAATTATCCGCTATAAATTATTTAGGTATACATACAACGAGAAACGAGGGAGAAGGGAAATTCTAGCTTGTAGAAGTGGGAAGAAAGTGCACCTATATGAGTTTGTGTTTAACCAAGGGTAGAATGGCCTGGTTTTAAGGCGAACCTATGACAAACTATGTTTCATGCCCCCGTGAAATATGCACACATGTGAGTGGCATCCACGCTCTAATGGAGGCGTAGGAAAGCGAAGGGAATGCCATATGCAGAATGCAACAGGGCCGAATGCCATTTCGAGCCTCTCAATTATTTCACGAACTGGAAGCGGATTCGTGGAAGCGGATTCAACGGATTCCTTTCTCCGCTTTAAGCATCGTTAATGCAATCGCAAGAGAAGGCATGGATCTATAGTTGCCCGTTACCTGGATTGGGCGTATGTAGATATCAGAAAATATGAAATAATAATTGTGGGGATATATGAATGCTAAGAGGAAGGATTCATTACGGGTCCCATGCCCATTTTATGGACCTGGTCTACCACGCCTATGATGCAATCTTTCTTTTCTACTTTCGATGGGAGTAGCCAGAAAAGGAAAGCGCTCGGAGTTGTCTCTTTTGTTCCATCCCAGCCTCGCGTTAGGGACAAGGCAATAAATATTTAAAAAATCTGCTCAAAATGCCTCTTCCATCGCAGGAAAAAAATCTTCCGGTGTAGTTGATATAATTAAGGATGTAACTACTGAAAACTTCGGATGTCCACAAAACGAGATTTCAAATCTAATACGCAATATTAGATGTCCGATATCGATAACCGATTTTAAAGGATGACCTAAAATTCGAGTTTGAAAGTATCAGCTGGATTATCCACTTTCCATTGGATAATGAATCATAAACATGTCAGGTGTGACAGGATGGTTCGTGGATAAATGCGAGGTTATAGAATTTCTAGTCGCGCATCAGAATTTGAAGTATAGCCTCTTTCCTCATCCAGGCTCCAATAATGATTAAACAATAACCAATATCTAGTAAGCGCGACACCAGTCAATACCAGCAAAATTCAAAACAGATAAGAACAAGAAATAACCATTTACAAGCGAAAGACATGGGTGAAGACAAAATATACAACGTACTGAACGCAATGCAATCCTCTCCTCCTACTCGATCCCCTGCAGTTCTATTTTTCTATCTAAAAAAAAAAAACCTGATGGAATGGGGACTGTTTGAGCTCCTCTGACATCCACACAAATAAAGCAGATAAGACTGTGTTCAGTCAGACAGCAAATGCTCAAAATGGAACAGGAAAGAAATTTCCAACAGGTGGCGGACGACGATAAAGATCTTGCCGTCAAGACCCGCCGTGTTTCCTCTGTCGAGTCCAAAGGGATACAAAGCAACACATCAATAGGCTTTTGAGTCCGATGGGATACCACACCTGGACCCATGCACTGCTGCAAACAGATAAAAAGAGGTAAACGACGGATGCTATCTCGACTCCTGCGTAAAAGGATAATGTCCTTGGGAACGAACGCATCTGTCTCGCCAAAAACCAAGAGCCCACGACCCATCGTCGTTTCAGAGCATACAGTCCAACCTAAACGCGGTGCGAGTGTATGCGGCCGACTGACGGAACATTCAGGCTGCAGTCATCCTTTCTTCCGTGCAAAATACAAAGGCTCTATTTGGGCGGAATCGTCTCCATTCAGGCGGCAAAATGAGCCTAGAGGGCGTGACCTAAGATGAAAGGAGTCTTTCCCACATCTTTTGTCTCTGGGAGGAGTAAGATTCATGGACTCCGGAAGTGGACAAGGTCAAGCATTTGTCACCATTGCATTGTGACTGGATCGTGGATGAGAAGGGGGATTATCGTCTTCTTCCTTTACCACGGGGTCAAAAGAGACGACGACCTTAATGACGACCCTTGATGCATTCATCCATGAGAAAATGAAGCCGAGACGCTTGCTTTTGACCGTCGCAGAGAATGAGGAATCGAGAAAGGGAGATGGAAGATGTATGAAAGAAGACGATGGTAAAAAACAGACCGAGTATCGAGTGTCTTTGACTGTGATGGATTGGAATTTGGCTCCTCGACATTCGCTCATACCCCGATCCCATGATGCATTTTGAAGGGGTTGTATCTCGTCTCAAGCTACTGCACTTCCGCTGACCATTATCTCTTCTACATCGTGAGATCGGCAAGATTTTTCGTCTTTATCGCGAGATCAAGCTGTCAGAGGAGCGACTTTATATTCTCGCCACAGCTCGGTAGGAATAAAGGCCAATCGAAGTCGCGGCAGCGGGGACATTGTACGGTGTGTGAGGGCCCCTGAATGCGACACGGAGTGCGATGAAAAGCCATTATTTGTCCGAGAGGGGGCGCGTGGCAGACGCGTGAACGATCCTCCTGCAACAATCCTTGGATTTGATAATTCACAGATGGGGGAAAAAGAAAAAAAAAAAGCCCAGCTGGATGCAGAATGATACGGACGGGAGCAGCTGGAAGCTAGCCGTCCATTGAAAACTTGTCGAGCGTGGCAAGTCAATTGCTCCAGGTTGAATCACGGATCATCGCGGCTTGATTCATCCATTCATCATTCTGTATCTCCTTTGCCTCGGCTCAACACACCTTTGAAGCAACAATGCCTGATAAGGAGTAAGAAGCCGCGCATTCACTAAATGCAGTATATATGGATCCACATGATGGATGCGGAGGCATCGGGGTGTCCATTAAGAAAGCGTCGCCTTCCATTTTTCCCCGCTATTCTTCTTTCCAAATGATGATGGTGATGATGGAAGAGCTCTGGAATCATAATCTATCCCTCTGCGTCTGCTAAAGAGGAATCAAGCGACCCCAAAAAATATTCCATCACCCTTACCCTTCTCTCTTTTCTCTCTCCGAGTCGGGTATTGATTTGGGAATCCCCAGGGTTTTAAATCATTCCTGCCCCCTTCGACTGAGCCTGAATGCAAATTGATGCAACAGCATTTGAAGCGCTGGGAAGTTGATTAAACGCTCGAAAGAGTGAAATTCAGCGACTTTGTCTTCATACTCAGCTTATGGGAACGAAGAAAGCCCGGATTATTCAGACCTAAGTCTCTCCTCCATCTTTTCATTAATGAAGCCAAGTCTTTCCATTTGGCGGCGACCCAAGCTTCCGTGAATGGTGGTTCCCCACTTGATTTGACACGGGACTGCAAAGCCGTAGAGGCTCGGGGTCCTGTCAGCACAGATTCCGACGGTAAATCTTGGCCTCTCTCTTTTCTTTTTTTTTTGCTGCATCAAGTGCCAGCTGGATCCCCGCCGGCATCACGCCTTTTTCCGCCTTGAAAATGGTATTTCCAATGAAAATGCAATATTCTGCATTCAATATGAAGGAAATCTCATGCATGCTTGATATCTCTGGGGCTCCCTGGCCCTGGCCAATATGGAGAAGTTATATCCAGGTCTCCAGGTCATCTATAATACTTGACTGCGAATGGATTCTTCCAGCCCATCTCTCATGGTAAACCATTCACCATATTACCCGGAAGTGAGAAATGCAAGCCTTGGCGTCTTAATTTCCGCTTGGGATTCGGGATAAAATGGCAACCAGGAAGGGAATGGAAAGACGGTTATTATTCGAAGTGTGCAGAATAGTCCATGGATGTGTCAGTCGAGATTGAAGGGTTTTGTTCCCAGTTCGGGACCGGAAAGGGACATAAATGGGAAACGGAGAGATAATTTCCGACACACATGCGATATAATATGCACGAAGTGTTCGGTATATTCATCTCCCC